TTATTAATGACATAGGGGCATGCCATGGAAGAGAAGAGGGCCCAAGAAAAGATGTATCATTGTTAAATTAGTGGCCAAGTTGCATGATTTTGATGGTCAACACTGGTAACTTTGGCTGATATATAATTAATCAATTAAGAAGCACATGATGGGGTTTAGTGCGAAATTATTGATAAACAGTGGGACTCTAATCTCACTGATAAATTTTTAGATATCCATAGAAAATGACAAAAGGGTCTTTAACATTTGAAGTTTGTGCTCAAATTGACCTCCTTCTCTGTAAGAGAGTGACATGAGTCTGATTAGTTGGGATCTGCTTAATATAATATTCAAATCATTGGATCAAGTCACAGATTTTATTAATAATATTCAACATATAATTAACAGATAATGGGATCTTGTGTCTTCCAAAGCCTTGGCCTATAATAATATTCAAAAACTTGATTATATCATATACATGAAGCAAGTTGCAACTAGCAGATGTTACTTGCACTGCATTGTGTAGTTTTCCCAATGTTCAGTCGGTTCAATGAATAATGGGTTCCAAAATACACATTGGTGGGCATGCCTAAAAAATCAGCCGTTAAAATTGGAGAGCCCAACATTTTATTAAGCCACTCCTTCAAAGTAAACCTTCCAATATGAGACTCATGATAGACTTTAGATATTGCTGCAAAATTGTTGGGTTCTTTTTTTTTTTCCTTTTTAAGTGAAAAAATTGTTGGCGACTAGTTGTAGGCGAAATCACACTATCAACATATCATATACCCTCTGTATAAATATTAAAATTTACTAATAGTATATTCCCTTCCTTATTTTTACAACTTGAATATATTGACAGTGTGTGTGTGTGGGTGTAAAGGACTAAAGGAGACTTCCGGTCAAAAAGAAGGACTAAAGGAGACGTGAGAAACACCGCAACAGTGACCGCACAAACGAGGAATGTGTTGTTTCTTGACTACTCAACTTAATTAAGGTTGTCTGTTTCGATCGGACGTGAAATATAAGATTGCGCATTTTGAATTACACACACAATCTTGTTGAGGCTACTTCATGCCTCGTCGACGTTTTCCGTCCCACGTATCGTTACTCCAATAATTCATGGTTCTCAACAGAAGTTTTAATTTGTTAGGTTCTTAACTGTTAATAATGTACCTTATGGGTCTTTAAGTGTCAATTTCCCATCAAATATTTGTTCCACCACGTTTTTTTCCATAAGATGAGTGGAGTCATTCAGGAGAGAAAAAGAGCACATGTATGAGCCAGAACAACATAAGTTTAAGAAATGGCCAGCGCAAAGAAAAACAGAGTGATGAGATAATCTTGCTTCTAATTCCAGGCCTTGCTTCACGATGTACTCTAGTTTCCCGAACAAAGGACTTTTTTTTTTTTTGGGGGGGGGGGGGTGTTTGGTTCACTTGCTCTATCTCAGAATCGCAGTAATTCCTTTAGTTCGGAGAAGACAATGACCTTGACTTGTGTATATTCTTAATCTGCTCCAAATCTTTGTCCTGTTTCTTGTTCCACAGCAAACCAGAGGTGGCTGAAACAGGTCGGAGGATACCTAGCTGGGTAAGATCACGATTCAAGAGCTTTCTTTAAAGCACTAATTAGAAGAACTCCAGGTGCCTTCCTTGTGAAGTGGCCGGATAATGGAGATTGAGAAATAATCACTTTTTTCCTGTAATATTCTATATTATATAGTACTATCTCTGGTTCTTAATATAAGACCTCGTTTGATTTTTATTTTGGTTTTAAATATAAGATTCCAATCCATTTTGTTTCTCATATTTAGGTTTTTTTTTCCCTAAGGAAGTCCTTCTAATAATGATAATTTTAACCAATGCACTTGATTAGTAAAGATATTTTAAGAAAGAAAATATCTATTCATTACAAATAATTAACTTATATCCTTAATTTTTTCAAATTAATCAATTAATTTTTATAATTAGAATTGGAGGTAGTATTTCATTAGTAATTTTAATGCGGAACCTAAAAGTTGAAGAAGGTACGTGGTCCTGCAATCAAGACCCCAAATTGGTTCGATGGAGATGATGATGAAGATGCCATGTCATGATTCCAAAAGAAGTGGGCTCAGAAAATGACCCAAAAAGGGAGCCCAAATCACATATGCAGGTACAGCCGGAGGAGGAGAGGGAAAACAAGAATATTCGGACCCCTGAAGGCAGTACAATAGGGGCAAAATTGGATATCGGAGGCATGTGGGTGATTTTGGATGATCTCCTCTCTCTGTGGCTCTCGTCTCTTTCCTTTCCTTTTGTATCTTTTTTCTGTTTCTATCAGTTTGTTTATAGTACTATTTGAATGTATTCTTGTATACCGATAGTTATAAGTGGATTGAATATTAAATATATGCTGCTGGTTCCATTGTGTTGAGATATTTTTGAATTTAGATCATTACATGCCAATTTCTGATACAAACCGGAAAGTCGAGCAGGGTCAGTCTCACTTCTGGAATTGATGGTAAAATGGTGCCAACGCAGCTTTGAAACAATAGGAACATTTATGAAGATGAGACTAGAAGGAGCATAACACAACTCTGTGTATGCAAATGAGAAATTAGAATTTACCTCGGAAAATAAAGCTGAGTGCACAATTCATTGTTTCCGCGAGAAATTTCAGCCATCACGTTAAAACTAACAGGGCTATATTTACCTGGGTTCATGGAGAAAGCTAGCTGAGCTCAACAGCTTCACGATGCAGAAATCAAGCAGAAGCTAACTAAATTGGTCGCTCAGACTGAGGAATCTCAGGTAGTGATCCATTAAGAATAAGTAAAAATCCTGAAAGCATTATGCAGTGAAAAAAAAAAGGCAACGAAGAGAATGAATAGAGTATAAGTATATCAAAAAAGCTCAAAGACTATTCTTCTTATCGGAGGGATTAATCCAGAAAACAAAGATATTCCTCCCGCAAAATTTGAGACGCCAACTTTGTTTCATGTGAGCTTCTGCAATGAAATTTGCTTTCGGTAGGTTTTTAGACGTTGGCATAAACCAATAATAAAGAGTCAAAATTTTCAAATGACAAGAATTCCCCAGCTAAAATACTTGCATTGAGTCATGTTGAATCTTTAACTCATTGGTATAATTTAGATGTAAAATAAAACTCTAATTACACCACAAACTAGATCTTATATCTAGATTTGTATGTAGTAAAAATACTACTCATCTAATTCTAAATATAAAACTTATTTTGTAGTATAATTGACACTACAAAATGAATTTTACATTTAAAAATATAATTTATACTATAAAAATAAAAATTTATAATTTACACTAAAAAATAGATTTCATGTTTAAAATTAGTGGGGCATTTTTTTAAGATATCAACCATAGATTAGTTGTTCTATAATGGGAAGCAACTTTTCTTAAAGCTAGGTGAGGCAAAATATATAGAGTCATATGGCATATGAGTATAAATGAAAAAAAGATGGAATTTGTGAGGTGCGTTATGAAGATGATTTCCAAGCTTATCTGTCGTACATAGCAGGTACGCGCAACGGTTCATGCCTCTGTCTCAAGCCATCTCAAGGAGAGTTTGTTGACGCAGCAGTACACTAATTTGCAAAAGAAGTTAATTACTTAAAATAGTTATTACTTCCCCCCTTAATATATAATATTTCCGAATCTAAATATAAGAGTTAGTTAACTAATTTGAGTAGATTAAAAAAATAAATTATATTAGATATTTGTAATAAATAGGTGTTGTCTTTTCTAAAATATCTTTGCTAATCAAGTATATTGGCTAGAACTATTATTATTAGAAGAATTATCTTGGAAAAAAAATGTATAAATATGAGAGACGAAGTGAATTAGAATCTTATATTTAAGATCAAAATAAAAGTCAAATAAGATCTTGTATTAAAAACCGGAGGCACTAGAATCTAATTAGAGAGTAGATGTTAGTTCTATATATGAGATCTATTTTATATATTTATAATTTTTTTCAAATAAACCATATTAATGTTTCCCAATAATAATCACGTGCGATAAGGAGGAAGAAATTCATGAAGATGCTAGAGTATTTTATATAAAAAAATCATATTAACTAATTCAACAAATATTTTTAATTTATTTTATTAAGTTAATTAGATCTTACATTAATAATCAATTATCAGACAAGTATTTTGAACTTTTAATAAAAAATTTAATCATTTTAAAATGCTTTACCCTTTATTAATAAAAGTACTAATATAACATGCGGTGATTACCATATACTGTATTTTTATCTTTTATACGTGGGATTACATAATTCGACATCTCAAAAGTATTTATTTATGTAATTTAAAATGAAAATTTTGTCACACATTTTGTCTTTTATAAATTAAGATTGAAAAGTTGTTTTAAAGAATTTTACTGCAGTTCTAAACATAAATTTGATTTTTTTTTTCCCGTGTATTTGTCAGGCAAAAGGTAAATCCTTTTCCCAATAAATATTAATCCCCCACGAGTTGCCCGAGGGCAACGAGGAATTATGATGTTCACAAACTCGAATCAAACGTGGCGTTCACATGATTATAAAAATAAAAAATAAAAAAATACCATCATTGCATTTCTATCCGAGAAATTTCTCCACCCTGAAATTGAAATCCCCTTTTGCTTCTGAGATTTATTTATTTATCATTTACAATTATAATATATTCTTCTTAAGGAGAACCATAATAAGATCTTAAAAAAAATTGTAAAATAAGTGTTAGAGGTTACCATTTTATACTTTTTTTTTGGCCTAAAAGGTTACCATTTTATACTTTAAAACTTGTTATTATAACAGTTCTGGTTATTATTAAATTTTTTTAATAATTATTTCTTTTTTTTTCAGATTATTATTTCTCCAAAAAGACTTGATAATAATTCTCTGTTCCCCGCACGTCTATGTGTCACTTCGCTGCCACAATTCTACATGCTGTGTGTGGCCTCACATATTTCCACGCCCAAATTACTATCAGTTTCGCGCTCTCCGCCGCCGCCGCTGCCGGACACCATGGCGCAAACGCAACAGCATTTCCTGGTCCTTGGATTTCCTGTGCAAAGCCACCTGAACCCTACTCTTCAGTTCTCCAAGCGACTTATTGGCATGGGAGCGCGAGTGACTCTGCTCATCACCGTCTCCATGTACCGCCGTATCATCCAGAAGCCCATCATCGACGGCCTCACAATAGCCAGCTACTCCGACGGCTACGACGACGGTTTCACCGACTCAACCAGCAACGCTAAAGTAGATCTCTACCTCTCTGAGTTCAAGCGTCTCGGAAAACAAGCTCTCACCAATCTCGTGGCCTCCAAATCGAACGAAGGCCACCCTTTCGCTGCGGTAATATACAGCCTATACCTTTCTTGGGCGGCGGAGGTGGCGCGTTCTCTTCACGTTCCGTCGGCATTCCTGTGGGTTCAACCGGCAACCGTGCTGGACATATACTATTACTACCTGAGGGGTTACACCGACTACATTGACGGCGAAAGTAAAGATCCTGAAGGTGAAATTAAATTGCCGGGATTGCCGCTGATGAAGACGAAGGACCTTCCCTCGTTCTTACTACCTTCAAATATTTACTCTTTTGCCATACCGTTGATGGACGAGCACTTCCGTGAACTCGACCTGGAAGTGAAGCCAAGGGTCCTCGTGAATAGCTTCGAAGCATTGGAATCAGAGGCAATCAGAGCCGTCAGTAAGATGAACATGATCCCTGTCGGGCCGTTGATTCCTTCCGCTTTCTTAGGCGGGAAGGACCCGAGCGACACGTCGTTTGGGCTCGACATCTTTTCTCGTTCAAGTGGTTATGCTGAGTGGCTGGACTCGCAGCCAGAGCGTTCGGTGGTTTATGTGTCGTTTGGAAGCCTTTCGTCGTTGCCTGAGAGACAGATGAGGGAAATCGCGTGTGCTCTTTTAGATTCTGGAAGGCCCTTCTTGTGGGTCATTAGAGATTTTGAAGTTAGATCAGAAGAGAACTGTATAGGAAAAGAAGAGAGAGAAGAGGATGGCGTGAACTGCAGAGAAACTCACAAAAAAGAACAGAAGGCGAACTGTAGAGAAAAAGAAACTCGAAAAGAAGAAGAAGAAGAGAAGCCGCTGATGAATGGAGAAGAAGGAAAAGAGAAGCAGAAAATGAATGAGGGAGGAGAAGAGAAGCCAAAGGTGAGAGGAGGAGGAGGAGAAGAGAAGCAGAAGACGAGTGAAGAAGAAGAAGAAGAAGAAGAAGAGTGGGGATGGAGAAAGGGATTAGAAGAGAAGGGTAGGATAGTAAAATGGTGTAATCAAGTGGAGGTTCTGTCACATAGGGCCGTGGGATGTTTCGTCACACACTGTGGTTGGAATTCGAGCATAGAAAGCTTAGTTTCGGGGGTTCCGATGGTGGCATTTCCTCTGTGGACGGACCAAATGACAAATGCGAAGCTGATAGAAGATGTGTGGAAGACAGGTACGAGGGTGAAGGTGAACGAGGAGGGAGTAGCAGAGAGTGACGAAATTAGGAGGTGTTTGGATGTGGTATTGGGGGAGGGAGCGAAAGCAGTGGAAATGAGAAACGAGGCAGAGAAATGGAAGGATTTAGCAAAAGAGGCCGTGAAGGAAGGAGGGTCTTCCCATCAGAATCTAAGGGCTTTTCTGAATGAATTTGCAGGTTGCTGAGTTATGTGCTGATTTTGAGTGCCGTACTGTGTTAGGGACGATTATTCAAATTAAGTTGTGTGATCCACTTTCGTCATCAAGTTCTTCAATTTCCGACGCTTGACAAATGAATTGCTTCTTTTGTAAGCCAGTGGCCAGTGGACCAGTTCCCTCGTCTCTCCAGCTCTTGTTTCATCATCATCTTGTGTGGTGGCTATATGGCCGACACGTAAACGATAATCATCCAACAGATATATGGGGGAGACATGGGTATATAATGGGGATAAATCAAAAGCATAGCTCACCATCAAAACTTAGCCAGCTTGAGCTCTCCAACACAAAATAGGGATAGTTAATTTAGAAGTGCTTATAGTCTTAACTAATTTTGAATAAGGGCCTTATAACTTTTTTTTCTTTTTATAAGGTTCTCATGAGTTAGAGCTGGTAATACGCGCTAACCCACTGGTTACAGGCTGACCCATGACAGGTCTGAAGGCTTGCGGTTTGGTTTTTTTAGGACCGCTTTCTAGCAAGTTAGGATTTTTCCAACCCAATCCATCAAGATAGATCGACGGGTTAGGCTCACCAACCTGTCAATTTTTTTATTTTTTTATTTTAATAAAATTTACTCAAATTTCTAAATATTTAAAATAAAACATGTAAATATAGAAATTATAAAAATAAAACATAGAATATAAAGTTTAAACTTTCAAATATCTCAAAATATTAAACATGATTGCATAATCCATCCATCCAAAATGATTTAATAAACACCCAAATTAAAACATAAATCCAAATTAACAACGGTACAACATTATAAAGTCACAAATATAATGCCTCAAGTGCTCAATCATGACTCATGACTCCTACACGGTGCGTTCCATTTAAAAGAAAAATTAAAAAAAAAAGTAAAATGGGCTAGCCCGCCAACCCTACCGGTTAGCCCGTCGCAGTTACGGGCTTAACAATTATGAGCTCAAAAGATTTGTTTTAGAATAGTCTCAATTTTTATCCACCCAACCCGCTATTTCTTGGGGGGTTGGCGGGTTGAGCCGCATGTTACCGGCTCTATTATGAGTTTATCTCATTTTTAATTTAGTCTCTGAATATTTTATTCTTTATTTTATAAATTCTATTCTATAAACATAAAATAGTGTATATTATTTAATACTAATTTATAAAAAATAATATTCTAAAAATAATGAATTATTATAATAATTTTATTTTTTTCAGCAAAAAAAATTAGGAATAATTAATTTAGAAATCCTTGTAGTTCTAACCAATTTTGAATCAAGTTCCTATAGCTTTTTTTCTTTTTTATCAGGTTCTTATACTTTCACATGTTTTTAATTAGGTCCATGCATTTATTTTTCTTTTTATCAAGTCCTTATTAATTTATCTTATTTTTAATTAAGTCCCTGAATTTTTTATTCTTTATTTTATAAATTCTATTCTATAAACATAAAACAGTGTATAATATTTAATACTAGTTTATAAACAATAATATTCTAAAAATAATGAATTATTATAATAATTTTATTTTTTTCAGCAAAAATATTAATTATTCTAAAATGTTTTAGTGAATTAATTAATCATATTACTTATTTTTTATTATATAATTATTAATTTAATTATTGATATTTCATACTTCACTCTTAGTCTATTTAATTAGGTTTATATTTAATTAATAAATAAAAATTAAAACTAAATGCACCTGATTAAAAATTTAGTGAAATTATAAGAATTTAATAAAAAGAAAAATAAATGTAAGGATCTAATTAAAAACAGATGAAAGTATAAAGACCTAATAAAAAGAAAAAAAAAACTATAGGGACTTAATTCAAAATTGGTTAAAACTATAAGGACTTACCGATTAATTAACCTAAAAAATTAATTGTTTTGAAAATTTTTAGTGAATTAATTAATTATATTACTTATTTTTTATTATATAATTCTTAATTTAATTATTAATATTTATATTTCAGTCTTGATCTTTTTAATTAAGTTTATATTTAATTAATAAATAAAAATTAAAACTATATGCACCTGATTAAAAATTTATTGAAACTATAAGGACTTAATAAAAAGAAAAATAAATGTAAGGACCTAATTAAAAACAGGTGAAAGTATAAAGATCTGATAAAAAGAAAAAAAAATTATAAGGACTTGATTCAAAATTAGTTGAAATTATAAAGACTTACGGATTAATTAACCCACACAAAATAATACTAGCTGTTTTTTTAATATAAGATACCGTTTGACTTTTATTTTGGTCTTAAATATAAGAACTCAATTCATTTTGTCTTTCATATTTATTCATTTTTTTAAGATAGTCTTTCTAATAATGAGAGTTCTGATCAATAAACTTGATTAGTAAAAATATTTTAGGAAAAATAACACCTATTTATTATAAATAATTAACTTAACTTGTTTATTTAAGTTACTTAAATTAGTCTTTGTGTTGTTTGAAAATAATTGATCTCGCGTCTCCTCTCGCAAGATCCACATATAAGTATTTTTTGATGTAGATGCGGTAAACAGTAAATAAAAATACCCAAATAAACACTATACTTTTAAAAGTATTTTTTGAAATGCCTCATTTAAACTCGTTCACGCCTAAATGAACTTCAAATTCGTAAAGAAATCGTTCTTCTTAAGAACGAGTTTCATCGCATTGGTGACCTGATATTTATTATTTTTTCAATTGCAAAGCGAAATCGATCAAGGCTTGGGCAATTACCCTTTTTGCCGCCTCCTCTGATTCTCATCTAGAGCTGTCAATAAGGGCCAGCTCGGCTTTAAAGGACTAGGGCCTAAAAGGACCGGTCCTTTAAAGCCCACATACTTTAAAATTATTTAATTATCAAAGCCCGGCCCTTGAACATGCGGGCTCAGGGCTTAAAAGGGCTGGCCTTTTTATATTATTTTTTAAAATTTAAATTCTTGTTAATTATTTTAAAATAAAAAATAAAACAACAAAACTTCTAAGATTTTTTATTTAAATTATAAATATGAGTAAAATAAATTAGTGGTGTATAGAAAAAAAAATTAAATGCCAATAAACTATTATCTAAAATTTAAAAAAATCAAAATCTAACAAAACACAAAAAACAGAAAGATAAAACCTAGCAGTTAAAGATTAACAATATCAACATAATTATTATCTTTATCTTCATCTTCATCAGTATCATCAAGATCAGTAATATTTGATTGTTCTTTACTACAAGTGAGCTCTTCTTCAGTGATAAAAATATTAAGGTTTTTGCCTTCATTTACCTTGTCTAAAATAAAACTATGCAGTAATTATAAGTACAAATAAGAGCCTGAACATTTGTTCGAATAAGAAAAGTTTTACACTTTGTTAAGATATGTAAACCGATAGTAAATGAAGATCTACTAGCTATTATGGTGATTAAAATGTTAAGAATATCAGCTATCATTCTTGAAAGAATTGAAAATTGATTTTAATTGTTCTTCCACAAATCTAAGACATCTAATTCTTTTCAATTATCTAGCTTGAGTATTGATTCTTCTAAGTATTTTTCTAATTTAAACTTATTTATAAAAGACTAATCTATAACTTTATAAATATATTGATAATAATAAAAAAAATAGGCGGGCTTAAAAGGACTAGCCCTTGGCCCTAAAGGGTTGGCCCTTTTATTTTTGAACCCTATAGGACTAGCCCTTTTAAACCCAATTTTCTTTTAAACCACCTAAAATACAAACCCGACTCTCCACTTAAAAGGGCTAGCCTAATGGGCTGGATCTGTTTTGACGGCTCTATTCTCGTCTTGCGTGTCCTTCATTGGCAAGAGGAAGGGTGGATGACAGCTGGGCCCACACAAGTTGGAAGCAAAATAAACACTACAATCCACCACTCATCTTCCAATGACCTTTTTTTTTTTTGCTGACAAATTTTCCAATGACCATTTAAAACAATATTAAATGACTGAATTATATGTTTTTGCCCAGATGGTTTAAACATTAGATGCCACATTGGGTACTTACTATAATAACTAATTTACGGATAATATATAATTAGTTAAAATTTATTAAAAATAATAAATAAGTTAAAAATATAGTTTTATTTTTAAATATATTTTTATAATAAATATAAAAATAAGTGAAAAAGAGTATATGAAAAAAATGTGATAAGTCTAGAATCACAAGACTAGAAGGACTTGCAAGACCAGAATTACAATAAGAAGGAAATCATTCCAGCCTTAATCAATTTCATTTTGCAATTGAAAAAAATAATAAACGTCATGTCAGAAATAACGATTTTTTCACAAATTTAAAGTTTATTTGGGCGTGAATAGGTTTAAATGAAGCACGTTGAAAACTAGTTTTAAAAGTATAGTGTTTGAGTACTTTTATTTACTGTTTGCGGCATTTAGTTCAAAAGCCTGCGGAAATGATGCCCTTTTGAATCACGCACGACAAAAGCTTACAGTCTTCTGCACTACTATTAATAATTGATCTCGCCCCTCTCTCTCTCTCTTTTTCTTTTTGGTGACAATCGCCTCTCTCTCCTTTGCTATCAAATCATGTCGCCGATAAATATGTTAGGCCCAAAACCAAAAAAGATGAACTTACGTGTGGTAGTCTTTTTAATGGACAGTATGGAGAGGGATTTGAGACACGCTGAAGGGAAGCTCTGCCCAAACTTTTCCGGTTAGTCTTTCTAAATATTTTGGAGTACCACATAAGACTTTGGCTATTTTAGGGTGAAAACCCCTAAAATGTTCCCAAATAATTTACATGAATTTGGATACAAGTACAATGAATTAAAACTTATCCACTATATATATATTTGTACTATGCAGTGAAAAATAAATGAATCAGAATACAATAACAGAATTTTTTTTTTTTAAATATGGGGATGACAACAATGGCCATAAAAATTACAATTATATAAGAAATTTAAATTGTAGTAATAACTATAATATACCAACAATATATAGAGTCGAATAAATGAATTCTACCGGATGCATGGACATACCTCCGAAGCATTGACAAAAAGCTGGAAATTGAGTTAGAAATAGTGAAAACCTCAAAT